TTATTCTGCTATTATACTGCTGTTATGCTGCCATTATTTGGCAGATATAAGGTAGAATAATAGCAGATTTTTTTTCTGTTTTTTACCTATTATTCACTCTTTATTTATTTGTTCAACCTGTGTTATATAATAAAATATATAAACAAATCAGAATCAATACACTTGTTTAATATTCATGAACAGATGTATTATAAAAAATATATTTATATTCAACAGATAGGCACAATGGAACTAATATTTTTACTGCTTGATGAATGCATTATAAATTCTTTAATACAAGTTCAATATCTTAGAACAGACTCTCAAATATTTATTTTAAAGCAATTCTTTTATTACATATGATCAATTTACTAAATAATGATCCTTACTGAACTGACAAAATAGAAAAATATTTTGCTTAACCACATCATACTGTTTTTGACAACATGTTATATAAGAGCTATTTTGAAATATATGACATTAAGTCAACTTAACCAAATATCATCAAAACAATATACCAAGAAGATTTCAAAAATTTTTATTAAATACACAAACTATATACTTATTTGAATTTAATATCTGTAGTTAGAATATAGTGAATTATTTTTTTACTAACAGCTTCTGCTAAAACTTCTATATAAATCAGAAGAGTTGCTTAATAATTATCAAAATTATCAAGATCACTTTCTTATTTGATTTTCTAATCCTTTCAATTAATTCAAGATCAAAATTATGAGTATATGTCAAGACAGACAACTCACACTTTAGATTAATTCAATTTTCTGATTAAAACAATAATTTCATTAATTTTAATAACAGACATTCTTAATATAATTAAAATACAATTAGAATCCATAAAATACTACTATGAATTATAACAACAAACTTAATGATCAAGTTAATATTACTGTTACCAAACAATAACTAACTACTTAGAACCACAAGACAGATCACATTACTCTTATTTTTTATTACAGAACTAGCAGGTACTGGTAAATCCTATATGATACATTTGTTACTAAAAGACCTTCAAAGAATGCATTATAACTATTTATTATTAATACTTATTAAAGTGGCTATACAAAATGTTAGTGGTTCAATACTATATTTTGCTATAAAAATTATTTCAATTAACAAGGATTTTGTACTATCACACTTTATAATCAGGAGTTAAATAATTATCTCATTCAAATAGATACTCTTATTATTGAAGAAGTTTCTATGATGTCAGATCAACTTTAACATATATTTCTGAACTTTTTAAATCATTTTACAAAAATAATAATTTGTTGGAGGCATTAATGTTATTCTTATTAGTGATTTAGCCCAATTACCTTCTGTTTCTGGTTATCCGGTCTATCAATCTCTGATATGAAAAATTTTCTATCTACTATTTCTTTATGAACCTCAAAGGCAAAACTATGATATACAATTTAACAATCTTTTACAAAATATAAGATTAGGTAAAATTGATGATATGATATGAAATAACCTAATTCAAAAAAAAATCAAACCTATCAAATTACTCAAATTAGAAACTACTTTTAATACTATATATATAGTAGGCTACAGAAAAAATACTGATTCAATTAACAGAACTATATTAATAATAATCCTGACTTAAGAAAACAAATTTACAATTTCTAATTCTATAAACATCTTTAATAACCAAATATGTAACAATAACTTAAAACTTCATAAATTTAAAAATAAAATAAACTTATCAAAAACAATCAGAATTCAATCCATTGCAAGAGTTATCTTTTTCAATAATTCACAACATCAATATTGAATAGCAAATAATACTATAAGCATTATAACAGATTTAGATTTCAACTTAAATCTTATCTATATTAGTTTCTGCATTGAAGAAGCTATTGTCAATGTTTTCTTTTCTAAATATACTAGTATCAGTAGTAAAATTGACACTTTATAGAACCTGTAAAATAGATGTTATTGTTGCATACTTATTTAATTAAAGGTGCCTATGATGATCCATCTAAAACATGTGTGCCTGGTCTCAATAAAGTTATATAAAAGTACATAAGCCTTTATGCAGGACCCAACCACTCTTTAAATTAAAGTAAGGTTGATCTGGACCAAACTGTTGCACTAAGAATAGATGTTAACTCCACTTGCCTTACTTGGGTTAGGTGTGAAGTGATATCAAGAGGGTGTGATTGAAGACAATATAATAAGTTCTAACCCAATGATTGTAAAACTGAAACAGTTCTTATTGGTTTTATAAATGCTGTAAGAAATATTAAAGTAACAAAAAATTGTATAGAAGAGGTTAAAAGTTATAACAAATAAGGTTGAGAAGTGTTGAAATAATAAAGAGAGTCATGGGCTTGCACAGGCTTTTCTTGTAATAAATTTATTATAAAAAGGGTGGAAATTCCTTTTTTCAAAAGCTAGTTAAGTCAAGTATTGAAGTTCAGAATTGTTCAAAAGTTCAGAATAGCCCTAAAAATATAATTGCATTGCTTTTACAAAATATTAATAAAGTTAATAAAGCCTTTTTAACTTAACAAATAAACTCACATTCTTTTAAAATCATAATACTTATTTTGTAACATTTCTTAAATGATCATTTTGACCTTGTGCCAAATCATAAAAACTGCCTCTATTATTTTTGAGGAACATTATACAGCATAACCATTTTTCTAGTAACAATTCATTGTTTCTGTCCTATTTTAGAATTTGATATTAAATCTGTAACAATTTTTGTTAATGACTGTAAATAGAACGTTTTAAGCAGCCAGACTGTAAAGCTCCAAGACTAAGATACAACAACCTCAGCTATTCCTAGTTGAAGAAAAACAAACCAAAACTATAATGACTTTAACTATTCCACCTTCTCTGAAGTGAATTGATTGAGATTTTTTAATTTTTTTAATTTGTTGTTTACGTATTGAACTAATAAACTGTATTCATTATAATAGTTTATATATTATATTTTTAAGTTTTTATCAGACTAATAAACTATGTCTACTGTTTTTTTTTTTTTGCATTTAAATTTATTTGAACTGATGAACTGTGTTTTTTTGTATTGAACTTTTTTTTTTTTTTTTTTGTGGACCAACAAACTAAGTCCATCTGAAGTTATTCTTTTTTCTGTTTTTTTAGCATCTTATTATACATCATATTACACAAAGCTCAAATCACTGCTAGATACAATACCAGTTGTCAGTAAACTAAAGAAAAATACAAAAAAAATAAAAAATAGTTAGTACAATGCCAAGAAAAGAGCACTATCAAAAAAAGGAATAAGAAGTGATACAACCTAATCAAGTAAACAACCAAAAGTAAAAGCCACTATATTTGAAAAAAAGAGATTGATAATAAAAATATATATATAAATAATATATATTTATATACTATTAAAAAAATATATACTATTAAAAAAAGTGATCTTGCATAACTATAATGACATTTTGGAAGTTTAAATTAGATTAACCAAAATTAGTATAAATAAGATCTTAAAATAAATCTTAATTTAACTTTTATATAAAAAATAAAAAATAAAAAAATAAAAAAATATACAATACTTATCCTCTACTGATGTTTTATCAGCTCAGAAAGAAAGCTGAAGCCCAAACAACATCAACATCACAAGCCTTATAGAACTTCCAATCAACCAGACAAAGCCTCTTACAAAAAGAAGATTAACAGGGTATAGGATCAATTTTTCGATCACATGGTTTCCAACCCTTATTTTTAACATGTATCAGTATACTTATTTTTATTATTGCAGCATTGTATTACCATATTACTATATTACTTAAAGCAAATTTGTACAAAAAAAAAATTCTACTACTATATATTAAGACAAAAATAAAGTTCAAGGTTTTGATCTCTATCAAGTAGAAGTATATCATTGCCTGTTTTGTGCTGTTTTTATATCAGTAATGACTGTAAAAGCATGATATAAGTTACTTATAACTGCCTCTACATGTTGTAAATTGTTGCTTGTTAACTCTATATTTAAATAACCAACTAAATGATTTAATAAAGCTATTTTAAATTCAATTTCTTAATGCTAGTTTATATCTTTAGCACTTTTTTCAGCAGAATTTTCTAATGAAGATGAATCATATAGTATTAAGTTTGGAATAGCTTCAGTTACATCTTGAGTTTTACTTCTATCCTAAATTAAAAATGGATATTCAGTTCACTATTTAAAATTAGAATAAACTAATCAAACATCTTGCTTTTCTAACTTTATTTTTCTAATACTATATGGATCAAATGCTTGCAAATTAAAAAATAGCTATTAATAAAATAAGGGCAACTACATATCCAACAACTCAAATCAATATAATAATGTTCACTAATCTCTTTATCAATAGATTTGTTAGCAAGATTCTTCTATTCCTTCTTAAAGTTATCAAACCATAATGGAGATGTTCTGCTAAGTGAAATTTGCTGAAGGTGGGTAATTTGGTTAGGCAATACTCAAGTACAAATAATTTAAGTAAGATAATTAAGTCTTGGGCAATTAACATGATAAAGGTAATTGTGTTTTAAAACCTTTCAATGGGCCTTGTTCATTATATTAGTTTTATTAAGAGATATTGTTTTCTGTGTAGAATAGGTCCAAAGACACCATCTAGAAGGTTTGTATCAAGCACACTACAAATACATCCAAAGTAATACAAGATTATTTGTATTGCAAAATTTATATATTTTACAGACTGCCTTTATTCTTATTTCTTTAGAAGATAAAAATTGACCATCAGCATTAGTTGGAATTTTGGGATGCATATTGAAATGCTTTTTAATAAGGTTGATAATATCTTTATGTAGATTAGATAAATAGACAATATAGTATTCTTTATCTTTATGTTTCAGATCAGATTTGAAAGAAGAATTAACAAAAGAAAACTCATTCTCAACTTCATTATACTGATAGTCAGTTTGTTTAATTTTATTTTTGCTTCTAATTTTTTCTTAAAAGCTTTTTCAATATGCCATAGACAAAGTTGTATATTATATACCAGCTATATTTTTTTGCAACATTTATTTCAGCGAAGTTCATATTAGTATTAAAGTAGATAGGGTGCAACCCTTTGCTATAAAAGGTACCAAAAAAACTTTTAAGAGCTTCAGTTCACAGTTTCTTTTGTGCTTCATTACCAATTTTCATATCAAGAATAAAGTAAACCAGAAACTCACATATGTGTATAAGTAACAATAATTAATATATAGTGTTTTATAATAATTTCAAATATAAATAGGTGGCAAAATTTAAAAAAAAAATTTAAAATATTAATTATTAATTATATATTTTATTTTCTTTTTGAATTTTAGCATCTATTTATAATCTTAAAAAAGAAGAAAAAGTGCACCTTCAAAATTTCTGACAATTCTATAGAGTTCAAAACATCTTTTGGAGGTTTTGTACATAGCATCACAATGGATCTTTAGTATATTTTGTAATGAATAAAATAAAGGGGTTGTAAACCTGATTGCTATAATATAACTAGTTTCTTTTTAAAAGCACAAGAAAAGTACATGCAGAAATAACATAATTTTCTTTACTTTTATAAAATTTTTGTGCATAATAGAACTACCAGTAGTGGATTTGTTTCAAAGAAATTTTAGATATATCAAATTTCTTTTAAAGATAAGTTCATAAGTATACTGAGTCTATATTTAAGTTTTTATAATTTCTTGTTTTACTTTCAAAGATGTTGCAATATCAATAGGCCTTTTATATATTAATTCATACTGTAGTTTTACTTTGGCATTTGCAACTGAAATGTCAATATTAATAGTTAATTTGCCATCACAATTGAAATAATTGGTTCTTTTGTGATTCAAATCTTTGTATTCAGGTTTGAGCTCAGTACTTTGAGAATATACAAAGTATGTATTACCAAAATCTTTATAATATGATAAAATATTTGGTGCAGTTGTAGTGCTATATAATAAGAATATTAGGTTAAAATTGGAAAAAAATTTAAAGTAAGTAATTCTATGTTTTATTTTATAATTTACTTACATCTATTTGAAATCATCTCTTTCTTCAATTTCATTAATAATTAATTTGGCCATTACTCTAACATCGATGCCAATAGTATTAAGAGTTACTTCATCAAGTTTAATATAAAAAGTAGAAAATAGAGCAGTATTATGTTCCAATCTATTAATAATATCAGAAATATAATTATTAATTTCATTAATTGCAATTATTTTAATAAAGGCTTCTTTACTATCAATATCAGCTAATTTTTTGAATTTTTTCTTTTTAGCTCTATTAGTTTTGCATTTAGCACATGTCTTATATAATTTATTTTCATATATAAATGCTTCAGGAGAAAGTATACAATTACAAGAGGTGCAAGTATCTATTAGATTACAACTGTGTTGATTTGATTATAGTCAAGGCTTTAGGGATAAATTTCTAAAAAAAATTTTATTAAATTATTTAATCATATTTTTGCTAACAAATTTATTATATAGACATTTCATATTAATAAAAATGAGTTAATGATTAAGAAATTTCGATTTATCAAATTTATTATTTTTCAATTTATTTTTAATTTATTTGACTTTATATAATTTTCATAATTTAATACCAAATAGATAAAGCAACTCTTTTCTTAGATTACTTATACCAAAATTACAAAAAAACATTTAATTATTTCTCAACTTTCTACTAAGTAAACTTTACTTGACCTCTTAAGTAAACTTGTTCAGTACACTTTTTTCCTTTTAGGCGGCTAAGTTTTATTCTTAAATAATACTTGGTTGCTAAGAAAATTTCCAAAAACCAAGTTTTTAGTTTTTGCTCTTTTACACATAATTTTACTAATTAAAACTATCTTTATACTTATTCAAAGTTGTTCAGCTCACTGAGATGAACATTTTATATATAATTTATTAAAAACAAACTAAACCTCACAAAGATACAAGCAAAAAGCGAAAACAAAAACTTGCTCTTTGCAGGTTTTTTCATTGGCAATTTTAGGAAAACTTGCTGG